AAGACTAGCAGTAAGCAGTCGAAACGTTGCGATCTACATCTCAAGTGACTACATCGTGAGACAAACGATAGTACACTTTATTATTGCATTAGGTATTTTGGTATTGTATGAGGGTATTAAGGTATAAGGGTATAAGGGTATTATAGTATTAAGGTATTAGGGTATTAGGATGTTAGGGTGTAAGGGTATAAGGGTATAAGGGTAATAAGGTATGATATTAGAGTATTGGGGTATTAGGGTATAAGTGTATTATGGTATTAAGGTATTATGGTAGTAATTGGGGTATTAGGGTATAGGGATATAAGGGTATTATGGAATTAGGGTATAAGGGTATAAGGGTTTAGGATATAAGGGCATTAGGGTATTAGGGTATGAGGGTATTAAGGTATTATGGTATTGGGGTATTAGGGTATTAGGGAATAAGGGTATTATGGTATTAAGGTATTATGGTATTAGGGTATTAGGGTATAATGATATGAGGGTATTGTGGTATTGAGGTATTATTGTATTGGGGTATTAGGGTATTAGGGTATAAGGATATCAGGGTATTATGGTGTTAAGGTATTAGGGTATAAGGGTATTAAGGTATCATGTTATTAGGCTATTAGGGTATAAGGGTATTAAGGTATAATGGTATTAAGGTATTATGGTATTAGGGTATTAGGGATTACGGTATTAGAATATAAGTGTATTAGGGTGTTGGATTGAGACGGTCCTTGTACGGGAAGAAGGATTTGATGTAACTTTGACATTAACAAAAGAATAGATACGATTTACACAAGATTCAACCGATCACGATTATTCAAAGTCATTTATAACGCTAGTTGTTGGGACTGTAATGATTTATACATCGGGAAAACGAAGCGAAGACTCCACGACCGGAAAACGGAACATTTCAAGGCCCTTTCGAAGCATGATCACTCTTATATTATTAGGGTATTAGGGTATTAGGGTATTAGGGATTAGGGTACTACGATATAAGTGTATTAGGGTATTGGCTTATTAGGGTTTTGGGTGAGTGGGTTATTGGGATATTGGTGTATTGGGATATTAGGGTGTCTAAGTATTAGGTTATTGGGTTATTGGGGTATTGGGTTGTTAGGGTATTGGAAAATCACTCTTATACCTTTATATCCCAATACATCAATACCCCATTACCTCATAATAGTACGTTTCTTATCCTAATACCCTTATACCCTAACACCCTCACGTCCTAACACTTAAACAGCCTAATACCCTAACACCCTAATACCCTTATACACTAATACCCTAATATCCTAATACTATTATACCCTAATACCCCAATACTTCAATACCGTAATACCCTGATACCTCTATACCCCAATATCCCTTTACCCTAATACCATAACAGCCTTATAACTTAACAGGCTAATATTCTAATACTTTAAGACCCTAAGACGCTAATACCTTAACACCAACACCCTAGCACCCTAATCCCCTTACACCCTAACGTCCTAATACGCTAATACTTTAATACCTTAATACCCTAATACCCTAATCTCCCAATAACCTAATATCCAAATACCCTAATACCGTAATACCTGTATACCCTAATAGCCTTACACCCCAATACCCTAATATCCCAATACCCTAATACTTCTTTTAAGAAGTATTAGGGTATTGTAAAAAAAATAAAATCACTCAGTTTGAACAGAGGAGTGACTGACACCACTAAGCGGGTGCTGTAACTCACCAGACCCAACTTATGGTAACTTACATGTATTGTAACTTACATGGATGAAGGCTTTATTTTGAACTTCATTATATTGTAAGTATTACATCGAAGTATTGTAAAGGTAACATAGATATAGTTAATTTAAAAAAATGTACGAAGGTAGTTATACTTAATGTGTGTGGTCCGTTAGCTCAGTCGGCAGAGCGTGGTGCTGATAACGCCAAGGTCGTGAGTTCGACCCTCACACGGATCAACATTTTTTTTCCTAACTGGAACACACTATCTTAAGATTTGTAACTGATTTCCCTGCTCTTTGATTTCAAAAAACTAAATTCTGAAATTATTTTTTTCCTCCGGCTCGGTACAAAACAAAAGGACTAGATCAAATTTACCTTAGTCTGTTATTTTCCTAGAGCTTCAAAAAATGTTCAAATGGTGTTGCTTATTATAGTGGTCAATGCGCATAGCTATACCTACTAGTTCATAGGCATGTCACCTAAACTGAAAGAAACGGATGTATCAATGCAACTAGATATAGGTAAGGTAAAGGTTAAGTCTGCATACGAGCCAAGTGGCCCACCAGGCCGGAGCATATCTCGGTTTCTGTAGCATGAGGCGACTAGGAGTATTTCTGCTCCCCCTGGATGGCATGCTAGTCCATCGCAGGGTTAACCCCTGCATTAAGTTCGCCGGTACCCATTTATACACCTGGGTGGAGAGAGGCACTGTGAGAGTAAAGTGTCTTGCCCAAGAACACAACACAATGTCCCCGGCCAGGGCTCGAACCCGGACCGCTCATTCCGGGGACGAGCGCACTAACCATGAGGCCACCGCGCCTCCACAAAGATATAACTAGATATAACAGCAACCAGTTATAACAGGCTTAAAAACATGCTTAAAAATCCCAACTGGTGGGAGGCATGCCAGTTGGCTATTTATAAGCATGATCAAGAAGTTGAACTAGGGTCTACCGAGAAGAAACTCCCCCCAAGTGGTCAAATGAAGAGCGGGGCTTGAACCCGCGACCTCCGCGAAGTCGCACCCAAAGCGAAAATTATGCCACTAGACCAACAGGCCAGACGTATAACACCTGTTTAGACAACTGTTTTAATCTGCTACAGCCTTGACTCAGTTGGTGTTATAACATCCGTTCTGTGTTGTCTTGTAGTTACCAGTCCAACTGAGCTGATTAACGGAGTTTTCTGCGTCATGTCAATAAAGCAATTCTGACTCAGCACTAACACGAGACATTCAGTGTGAACAGTTTTTTAAGGATGGGTAAGTCAGTCATCGGATGTAGATGTATTCCTTCTAATAAGATAATCTATATCCTTGCATATTACAAGTATTGGTGGCCAAAAAATATGTGGAAACGTATCCCCCATCTTTTGCAGACCCCTAGGAAAGGGAAAAAAATCAATGAGCTAGGGCGTTCAACAAGACACTGTTAAAACAAAGCTTAATAAAGAGTGGACGATCACAGACTGACTTACTCAGAATGACGTAAATCTCGCTCGCAAAAGGCCTAAATAGTACCTGAACGTCCCATGGCACCCCGCGAGCTCTCTACCTTGCCGTCAGAACAATAATAATTTCTGACTATTTCGTATGTTCCTGGTAAGAAATTATATATTCCAAGTCCGCAAATAAACCTTTTGCTTTCTCGGTACATGCTACAAGATTAAAAAAAGAAACAACAAGCACGTCAGACAGACGTCATATGATCATAAATATCAACAAGTGAATTGCTTAATCAAGATTTTTTCATCAACAGGAAAAGTTGCGATAGGTTGGTCACATTTCTGTAAAAAAAGGAAAATAGTGTTGTCACAAAATGGGCAAGCAGTGAAAAAGAAATCAAAAAGAAATAAAACCATTACCCCCATAATGAAAAACAAAAAAAAACACAAACACAAACATACACTTCTTAATTTTAACAGTAATGCTCTTATGAAGAGAACACAATTCTATTTCCTGGGTAGCAAATGTCTCTTAAGTTCTCGAATCCATGAAGTCTCTCTGATTAAAGAATGTTAAACAATAGTACACGAGTTTATCTAATGTAGGGCGCCGTAGCTCAGGTGGTTAGAGCGCCTGTCTAGTAAACATTTCTTTCTTCTTTCATTGCTGCGTTATACAGCTGTTGTGAGGAAGGTTGCGCTACAAAAGCGTACCGCGCGACAAATATACGGAAAGGTGCTCTGGATATTGCTCGTTTACCGCTGGTCGATTGAAGTCCACGTTGTTTCAGAGCGACAGCGGAAAATTCATTAATAGGAGTATTCGCATCTTCTCTGATAGCTAGAGAAAATTATCCAAATAAAAAGTTTACAAACCGTTATTTGTACAACAATGGTCAGAAAAACATCTGTCTTCAAAAAGAATTAAAGCTGCATATTAGCTAGTAAAATAATGACTGCTGGAGAATCCCGGTATCTTCCGCATGCTAAGCGGGCGCTCTACCAATTGAGCTAATTCCCCAAACCGTAAACATTTGAATCAGTATACAAGTTACTATGTCTATTGAAAACACAATGTTAGAGGCATGACCCAATAACTAGTTTTACGCTTTTATCTAACCAAAGTACTTAGAATTTCATTTTAGAAAAAAAAAAAAAAAAACCAGATAATTTAAGAAAACATGTTGCTTTTGATTCTAGTTACTTGTTATTTAGAACACAAACTACTGATATTGACGACACATTATTAGAAACTAAATGGGAAACAACTTCTATTAAATGATTTCGGGATGACTATATTGCAACAAAAATCCCCTCATCATTTGAGAAAGCACGTTAGCAATGTATACATACATCCTAAAGAATAAAACCGAATCAGTTTGAACAAACCTAATGAGCGGTTGCTGTTCCTCATTTGGCCGAACTTTTGATAACGTTCTTGTACAAAGGCAGTAATACTTAAAAAAAATAAATAAAAATAAACCGAGGTTAATGTGTTTGGTCCGTTAGCTCAGTCGGCAGAGCGTGGTGCTGATAACGTCAAGG